CGCTAGAGGTCGCTATGTGAAATAAACTCGATAAAGAAGCTGTGGTTCATTGGGTGACCCAATTTGCAAGGTCGGCTTCATCCCGCTTCCGGATCAAGTTGGTGATTTTCGATTAAGGAGGGAGGATAAGTTTTTTGTGGTGTCATTCCGTGCTGGGTTTTAATGAGCCAGTCTTCGATTTCGTTGATTAATTGTTGTTTATAAATCTTATATTTGTTCTGAAAAGTATCTTAGTGTGTGTTATAAAAGAAAGTGAAAGACATAGTAACTGATGGCAATTCAAAGAGAGCTACGGTATTGAAAATGTTTACGTATTTTTACTTCTACATATTACAGAAAATTCAGGTCACTGCTACAAAGTAGCAAAACACACACAGTGAGCTCGAAAAACGAAGGAAAATATGAAAAATTACATAGCCCATTTGATGCAACAAAGTTTTCCTCTCGCAAAGACTACACTTCGTAAAAGTGCTGGAAATATAAAATGTGGAATGTTAAATAAAGTGCTGAACAAATATGTTCAGTAGTTTCATTTAATTCGCTCAAATTCCCGCTTATACAACATCTACGCTTTCTCTCTTTCTTTCATTTCCAATGAACACGAACATCCTTGTTGTTTATTGTACCACCAGCCTTTTTCTACATAACTTCACGCCTTTTATCCCCGAAGGGGTAGGCAGAGATGCACATTACAGCACTTAATACCACTGTACAATGTAACACCCACTGTTCATTATTTATGTAATGAGTCCTGGGCACTCCCATCCAATAGGGGTGATCCTATTGCTATATACCGGCCACAATTTCAGACTCCGTGCAACTACTGTGATTTTTTTTAAAAACACACTAATACAGTTTTTTTGTCTACCTTTATATGCAGGTAAATAACATCGATTCTCAAATTAAATAAATAAATACAAATAGAAAGCCTTTTATTTCTTGCAAAATTATTTACTTACTTACAAAACAAACTTAGAATAATTTAAAAATGGATTTTTAAACAAAATTATTGATTTTTCTTATTAATTATTATTGTAAAAGTTATGGGAATCATCATAATATGAATTTAATAACTGGTATATGAGAATTATGATTTGAAATACTGAAATCTCAAATTAACTCGTCGGGTACCGGTTTTGTAGACACAATTATAGAACAATAGGTTGCGGTCACCGGTGACCGCTTGGTGTTCGACAGTTTAAATAACATAATAATATTCTCTGAAGGAATAAGGTAGAGTTGTATTCATTATAAAGCCTCTTTTTTCCAGTTATGTTATATATATAAATCACTTATACTGGGGGGTGAATCGACAGTGCTATTATTAAATTTCTTGAAAATGGAAAACTGTACCGGTCTCCTTACTAGGTGGTCGCGCTTATTATCACTTGAGCCTTAAGCGCGAAGTCGAATATAAATATGTAAAATATTTATTTTATGTAAGTATATACTATCCGTTTTTCTATTTATTTAAGTTTTAAATACGCTTGCTTCTTGCATCGACCATTGTTTTTGTCTCTGCATCACCCAAAGGTCTGGCTGGAGGAGAATGCCCTAGGCATTAAGCCCACCTTGTACATAAGTTTGTGCATAAAAAAATATGAAACGTTAAAAGCAATATTTATAAATGTATACAAAAAAGAAAATATAAATGTATTATGGTATAAATTGCCAATTTTTCCTCATAAGCAACTGAATGTACGCCATTCTCCAAAATTGATTAGTGTCATGGCAACATAATATATTTTCATACATATTTGAACCAAGAACTGAAAGCCTACAAATACTTTTTAGTAGATATATTATACATTTTATAACGAATCCTTATTTTTCACAAAAAATACCTCAAAGCAAAAAGTAATTAAAGCCGGATTTGCTGTAAAACTCATCATTTTAATTCTCTTTATATTTTGCGTACGATGTAATTTATTCGCTTTGAGTTTCATCTTTGTAAAATGTTAGAAAAAATATTGGCCCATGCAATCTCGACAAAAATCCGGCGTGTAAAGTGAAAACGAAAAATATGAATCGAACCGCGTTTGTGTACTCTCACTTTTACTAAACTGCTTTAGTGATTGCAAACGTAGACTTTTGGGTGCAATTTCGATGATCACTAAAACATGATGGATTTTTCAATATTAATATTTGTCTAAAACACCCGATACTAAGGTTTTGTCTTGTTTATAGGGTGCGTTAACAAACATATATAAATTATCGTACACCACATATCTAGACTTGAACGACAATTTACATTTCAATTATTATTTAAAGAAGAAAAAAGCGCCGTCATTCGTCATTGTTATTATAAAATTATTAAACACAGAAGCAGGGACGCCGGACGCTGTGTACTCGCCAATCGAGTCTGTTTGCTTTATTAAAACGTTTTGCGTCGTTTGTTAAAGTATTTCCCCTTTGATTTTCAGTATTTTATTAAAGCAAATACGGTCTCACGTTCTCCCTTCTCGCCAATTTTATGGGAACATTTTGAAGGTACTTGGGCGTGGGGAACGTATGGTGTTTCAGTGAAGTTATGTTCGTGGGATGTCTCTGAAAAGTGATGTTCATTCGTTTTATATTTATTGGCTCCTTGTTCGATCGGTTTGAGAGCTGAGCCACGCACGAGGAGATTGTTTCTCCGCAATTGATGTAGATAGTGTTATTTTTATTGAATGGAGTAGAAGTTAGCTTTATAATAATAGTACTTGTAAGACGACTGTCGTTGACCTTACATTGATATTTATGATACACAAAAATATCGTCATTATAGCTTATTACGTTATTATTTTATATTAATTGTTAGTGAACTTTACATAACAAAAAACATTAAAAAGACTAAAGCCTCATTCGCAAAAATGCAACTAAAAGTGTTTTCTAAAATAGAACAGCAAGGTTAGGTGTCCATTTATCTGTCATGATTAATTTTCTTCTTCTTGTTAGACAAGAGAAGTAGGCGATGCAGCCAAATAATACTCGTACATTCAGAAAATAAATTGAATACTCTGTAACAAAAGCTACGGCACTTCGTAGCCTCGAGCTACGGTATTTCGTAGCCTCTTGCTACACTGCTACATCGCCATGTCGCTACGAAGCTACGCTAGGCTACGTAATAAGCAGAGCGTATTGCCGTTGTTACAAAAGAGCTGAAGTAGTGTTTATTTGATTATTTTATTTCATATACGATGATGTATTGTTGATATATGTTTCTTTTTCTGTATATTTTTTATGCACGTAAGTAAGGAAATAAAGTAACCACTTTTGTATTACAATAAGTTACTACAGTTAATATTCTGTATTCTATGATAAAGCTACGACGTAGGCTCGTGCTACATTGCTATACTCCGCTAAATGCGCGAAGCGTGGTACTACGATGCCGCGGTACACACTAGGCTATGCAATAAGCATAGCTCGTATAGATGTCGCGATAATTATCTTGATTTTATTTAATGTGATACATGGTGATGTTGTTATCTATGTCTATTGAATGTGTAAGAATCAAGGAAAATAATATGAATATTAATTACATTAATTACACATTTTTAACTCTTCAAGTACCGTCATTATAGACACAATTATAGAACAATAGGTTGCGGTCACCGGTGACCGATTGGTGTTTGACAGTTTAAACACATTTTAGGTCAATAGGTATTTGCCTAATTTTTATTTTAATGTCCGTCTGGTAAGTTATTTTAAATCATTAAACACGAATATTTTATTTTCTTACAGAAACTAACACTTTCGACGATATATTGACTTGAAATGTCGCGTGACGTCACTTCTATGTACATTTCATACGTAGAAATGACGTTTTAGCCCCACTCCTACACTTTGATTCGTTTTATTTTAGTACTAGCTTCTGCCAGCGGCTTCGCCCGCGATCCCAGGGGGAAAATGCCAATGTATTACTTCACACCATACTCTACCTCTGTTCCGAATTTCATTCCGGTCCTTTCAGTCGTTTTAATATGACTGAGTAAAAAACATATACAAACACATAAGCTCACATATTTTCACATTTATAATATCGAGTCAAGCTAATTTCAGCCATCGGCCCTACAGTTACAGCGTAAAGTCTATGGATGAGTATTGTAAACGTAAGAGTAAACAAATATAAGCAGAAAGCTCCGAACTGCTAAGCTATCTGGAGTTACACGTGTTATTGTAAGTCAACCATAAAAGATAGACATGTGCTGTTGTGGGATATTATTTAGATAATTTTATGTAGAACATTTCCGTCATACATGATTTCTATGCAGCTTTAACTATTAAGCCTGCACACGCGACGGAAGCTTAAAAAATGGAGTAACTTCTCCCGTTTTCCCAATATTTCCCTTCACTGCTCTGCTCCTATTGATCGTAGCGTAATGAAAAGTATACTATAACCTGCCCAAGAGTATGAAGAATAATTGTGCCAAATTTCGTTAAAATCCGTCTAGTAGTTTTTGTTTCCATAACGAACATACAGACAGACAGACAGACAGACAAAAATTTTACTGATTGCATTTTTGGCATCAGTAGCGATCCCTAACCACCCCTTGATAGTTATTTTTTAAATATATTTTATGTACAGAATTGACCTCTCTACAGATTTATTATAAGTATAGATTGTTTTATTATACGACTAAATAAAAAAATACGTATCTAATATTTTTTCATTACACAACTTACGGACTAATTAGATTTTTAATTTTCATACCCTGTCATCATCCCAATTGTGTTTACAAAAAAAAAAATAATAAGAAATTTAATTATTAAAAAAAAAACAAATATCGTCTATTGTTTTATTTTCACCAACAAATAAATTCGTGTTAATCAGGCTACACACCTTACGATTTACTGTACAGTTCGCTGTAAAACTGTATAGTTAAAACGGAAGCTGTGTAGCCTACATCATTATTTTTTTTTATAAATCCAATATATTTCAAGGGTAGATAAAGACATGTGTAATTTTAAAGCGTCAATGAATTACAAAAATACTGTTATACTGAATGTTATCTTTTCAGGTGATCTATGGTGGGCGGACGGCCGCGTCGCAAACACACATGCTGACGATATGGTAAGTATTTCTTTATCAATAAATTATCACTTGTCCCTACTGTTAAAATATTATTTTGCTGAAAGAAAACTCACGAGGAAAATTCTCAATTTCCGTTTAGTAGCGCCATCTACCCGTTTCACGCCATACTACGTAGTCAACTGGTTGCCTGTTCACTCCGTTTTCTACACACGAAGCTACAGTGACTCGGTGTACGAGTTTTAGTGTCAGCACCTACCGCTAGATGGCGGTGTGTACTACTATTCTATGAAGAATAAAATATTGTGATTTTGATACTAAAGCAAGAAGAGAATGGTTGAACCAATTTCTTCTTGCTTTAGTATCAAAATCTACTTAAAACTTGAATTACTTATTAATTGAAATAAGAAATATTAGTTTCTTTTTCTAAACTGTTAGATGTGCTATTGAATCGATCGGTGGCTAAATTATTACTTATTTGTTTTCAATCTTTCTTCTAGGTAAAATAAATGTTTGCTTTATCAGCAAGACTGGCATGATGATGAATTGTTTGCAGGATACAGTATGGCCGCGGCATATTGGCTCAACTTGCTCGGATGCCTGTCGCTGTCGCTGCTATGTCTCTTCACAACTACTCTTCAAGTCACAAGCGGTAAGTCCAATATATTGTAGTATTAAGTCCAATATTGTCTACCGTTGGGGTAGACGTGTTCTGGAGTGGAGACCGCGTCTAGGCAAACGTAGAGTAGGGCGCCCTCCAGCTAGGTGGAGTGACGATATACGTAAAGTGGCTGGTAGTGGTTGGATGCGTAGAGCTGAAGACCGAGCTCAGTGGCGTGCTATTGGAGAGGCTTATGTCCACCAGTGGACGAAAACAGGCTGATGATGAATTGTCTACTGCAGAGTCTCAGGTAGACTTTATGTGAATTATGCATTCAATGTACATTTAATTTATAGTTCTACATATCTTATTTAAGTTTTCTCAATAAGTAGTACTCAGTAGGCTCCGTACGAGTCCGGAGTTGTGTCCGGTATATGGCAATAGGCTCACCCCCTATTATATTGGACTCATAACATAAATAGTTAAGTGCCGTAATGTGTCCATCTGTTTACCCCTTCGGGGATAAAAGGCGTGATGTTATGCGATACCATCCTATAACGATCTAGAGGTTACTTAATTCAGGTATGTGTTCTCAATTCAGGTATCTAATAAATCGGCACCCAAATGTTTCATTAATTAAATAAACTTATTTTAATTCATTTTTATTTAATTCGTACGGCCTATAAGCTTCATAATATCGTCAATTGTAATTTACGAATAATAGTTGCATGCCTTGATTGGTGGAACATGATGAACTGCGCATTCATATATCATCTTGAAATGCATCAAAATGTACTGTGTTCAGCAATAAAGATATTTGATTTGATTTGAAATATCGACTGCACGGTTGATATGGTGGCTGGGTAACCAACTGGGCTGGGCTGGGCTGCCGCGTAACAAGTAGTGGTTTCAATTCCTGAACGGAGCAACTCTTTGTGTGGTCATCCATAAATTGTGGTCTGGGTGTCATGTGTGTGTTTGTAAACCCATGGACGAGACAGGACAAATCCCATTGTGGAGTAATTTAAAAAAAAAACAAATCGATGTAAAATTACCGCTTTGTTGATCACATTTTACAGAGCCAAACGGATGCATACAAAATGTTGCGCTAATTAACGGACAGATAGTTAATTAGGATTTATAATGGCAATGGCAACAGCTAGGTCAATTGGTAATTAGTCGCATTAATGTATAGTTTAAATTTTATATTTGGATTTCGGATAAGTATGTATAGCGTTTCAATATATTAGTCTAACTTTCATAAACGTATACAAGACGTAAGACATTTAGTTTTACTACTATCGTTTTGAATATTTTTGGCTTTGTCATATTATAATGGATCTCAATAAGTGATACTTCAGGGAGTTACCACTTTAGGGGTCCACCAATGGGGCGGAAAGTAAATAATATTTAAAATATTAAATAATCTGTTTAATGATAACGTGGTGAAAATGACATTGACACGCTTGGCAGACGTACCACTTATTGTTACTTATAAAGTAAAATATAATATAATGTGAAGACATTTTTGCATTGGAAAAATTATGACATAAGAAAACAAAAGTATTGAGAGATTCAATTGGAATAAGAAAATACTAAAGAAAAGAGGTGAGCTAACTAATAGTAAAAAGTATGAATATGAGGTACAGAATAATGAAATGATAAATAATGAAACGTAAGTGAGCAGCCTACAATACGTTGCCCGGCCACTCCACCAGCCAACAGTTGTGCAGTTAAAACTGTTTTAACGATATTTTTTTTTTATGCACCGACCATGGACAGCTGAATCATGGGGAACTCGGGGATTGGAGAGATTGGGCTGGGGGGATTTGGGCCTCCAGTAACCTCACTCACACGACGAAACACAACGCAAGCGTTGGTTCACGTCGGTTTTCTATGAGGCCGTGGTATCACTCTGGTCGAGCCGGCCCATTCGTGCCGAAGCATAGCTCTCCCACACTTAACGTTACTGTATCATTTATATGTATTCTAGAAACGATAAAATGTAATCCTTACCATTTAATTTTATAACAAACTAGCTTCTGCCCGCGACTTCGTGCGCGCAATCCTATTTTTCCCGGAAACTAAAACTAACCTAAACTTTTTTTTCGAACGGGATAAAAAGTATCTTATGTCCGTCTCCTGGCTCTAAGCTACCTCCATACCAATTTTTAGCTAAATCTGTTCTGCCGTTCTGGAGTTATACGTGGTGTAACTAACACGACTTTCTTTTATTTATATAGATAAGATGTCTTTGTTACATACATAAATATGATGTAACATGTTGTACGAACATAAAGTCGGTACACAGCACACACACACATACAAACAGTCCAACGTGGAACACTTATTTACCGCTAATATAATAAAACGTGCGAGGTTGCACTTTATGATATTAATGGCCTCCTTTACAGAACAAAGTGGTTATTACTGAACAAATCTCTAACAAAAGCGGTACACTTTTGAAATGTAATACAATGTGTACATTTATTATACTTAATGCAATATAATAGACTAGTGTTCCACCCATGGTTTCGCTTGTGTGGTACTTCCAAGGTTTCTTTTAAAATTAGAATTACGGATATTATTTACTAATATTCTGAACACAAATAGAATAAAATTTCGTATCTTAAAAATAAAAGTATGTATCACACTTAAACCGTACTCTGCGCCTATTAAAATCATGTATCCCCAAGTCGCTTCAAGGATCGAAAATCCCTTTACAGCCTTCTCGAGCCATAGATATCCTCTCTGGGCTTAGAGTATATTGAGGAATATATATTTATCCCTCTCTAACATATGGTTAAGTGCTACCCATCCCTTTCGTGGGGCGCAAGGAAGCGATCAATAAGGATTCAGAATCTAAATTCGAATAAGATACCGTTGGGAGAGGAAAATTTTTGTAATTATGTTCAACCAGTTAGAAAGTTTATAATTATATCGTATCAAGTTGCGTAGTCAAAGTTCCCAAGAAGTTAGCGTAGTGTCTTGTTGATTATACTGAATGGATTCGTTTACATCTGAACACCTTTTCCAAAAAAAGTTTGAAGTTTTCCAAATTAGGGTAATCATCTTTAATTTTACAATTTAGGATTGTAATTGGTTGAGGGGAAATAAGGAGTTTTTTATAAGATTTCCTTAAATTTTCAGTCAGAGTGTGTTACTTTATTCTCTTATACATAAATAAATAATAGTTACTTAAAAAAACTTTTAAGTTTTAATTAGCTCTATTGTACCAATAAGTCCTTTCGTTTAGTATTCATATTGGAAGTAGTTGCGGAAAAAATATTGTATGGTCATCAAGATAGAGTGTTGAGTGTATCAAATATCAGACTAGTCATTCGGTGTTATCAGGAGGGCGGTGACATTCCAATTACTTAATTTGACCCAAGGATACAAACAAATGGAGCAAAATAAATAAAATGGTCTAAAAAAATAAGAAGACCAAGTTTAAAGTGTACAGTAATAACAAGAATATTTTTCAATTATCAACATTTTCTAAAAGTCTGATGCATATCTCATTGTCTATTGTTGTAACCAGTATTCCTGCATTTTTACTCTCAAATTTCTTCATTTCTGACGGCAAAGACTTTAGCATAATTACGTCGCCTCTCATAAACACGCCTTTTAAAACATTTTGTCGTCGTTTCAACGGATTTTGAAAGGGCAAAGGAAAAATGGAGTTGGAATTCAGCTTCGTATCTTTTGTTTGAAGTAAGTAGGTACAGGCGCATTCTTTAATCTTTGAGATTTTTACTTCACATCAACCGCATAACTGGGAATAAGGTGCTTTGTAAATGACAGAGTTTAGAGTACTCAACTTTTTGCAATTGCAATCATAGTAATGTCTTTATCGTTGTCGTAAAACTGTTAAGTTTTTCTGAAGCATTTCTAAACACTTTTAATTGCAATAAAGTGTCTTATAGCTAAATTACTCTACAGTTGAGGTAATAAAAATCTTTAATGGCTCAATTGTCGCCAGGAGTGTCGTAGTGTTGTCCGTAATAGAGATGTACCATTGCGAGTAAACTATCGAGTAAATTAAGAGAGATCGTCGCTTGTTTTCGCGAGTCGTTCCTCGGTCGGCCATCATTCGTCACTGCGGCAAAGTTCGCGGTGACTTTCGTGATGGAATTTTCCTGTTTTCTTAACCGAAGCCTTTTTCTACATGACGCGAGGCTCCGTCTAAGTAACGAATTTACCCCGTATTATGTCGTAACCGCGAGTCACTGTATCAAATATTTTGGCAGTGAATTATGATCGCGTTACATTGAACACATAGTTCTAATGTTATTCGGTTTCTATCGTGAGATAGTGTATTATGGTATTTACCACAAAATACATGAATATCGACGTTGTTTGTTAAATAATAAGACTAATAAGGAAACATGGATATTTTTGACTCCATATCTGTACCGTTTACGTAATTTGATAGTAAGTAGTTTCCAAGATTAAATGAAGATTAAAATTTGTTTTTTCATTGATAAACTGGAAGGTTTGCAATGAAGCAGAGTAGATATTTCTATCCTTGTCATACGTCAAATATTAGAAATTCTACTCGAGTTCGAGCAAGATAAATCATATGCTCCACTAACTATATTTTACCGTTGATATATTGCAGTTTCAACTATTTTAGACCTTATGACGTTGAGAGTAAGATGAAGTTGTAGTTCGCGGGAAGTTAGCGGCGGGCAGAATTATGTTTGTAGAGTTGTAGGTGGAATATCGGATAGTTCAGGAATAGACGCGCTGTACGTCTTGATCGAGGAGTTGTTACACTTACTGAGATGCACTCGAATATAAGATGATTTGTTAAATATTTAAAAGTATCTTTGCCTTACCACCTGGGACTCCTAACATAAACAGTGAAAAGTGGGTGTGACATTAAGTGCCGTAATGTGCACCTCTGCCTACCCTTTCGGGGTAAAAGGCGTGATGTTATGTTATATTTACCTTAACAATAGTATTTTGTACAAATTTTATAAAAAATAACTAATAAAGTTAGTTATTTTCCAAAGATGATAAAAATTATAAGTAAAGACGATCAAAGG